TAAATATGCACATGTGTAAACATGCAAACGTGTATACATGTATACATATATACACATGTGCAAGCTGAATAGTGTCACGTAAATTTGTCCCATTTAACAGCGTTTCCAAAATCATCATCGATTAAACTGCTAACGTGAAGGAAATAAGGTCCATCACAAATTGCTCATGACGTTTTTTTCTTAATACAAAGGGCTTCAATTTCGCGCAAGCTTAAAAAAATAAAAAAAAAAGTGAGAGAGAGAAAGAGAGAGGGAGGGTACACTTTTAAGGTCATGAAGACAATGTTTCCCACCGAATGGAAATAGGAGCTGCAAATGGAATAAAAGCTCGGAATTATACTTTTTTTTATGTTATTGTAGAACTGTTTAATTGGCCATATAAGAATTTACATTAATTTAAAAGAAAAAACGACAACAACAACAAAAAAAAAAAAAATGCACAGCAAAACCGCGATTGAAGCGCTACATTCGCAAAACGCAATTTAAGAAGCATTTCGTGAAAAGACCTTCTGCAGGGCATAATTATATGTTCCCTTTTTTCCTTTCACTCTTAGAAGGCAGTTTGCATTGAAAGCTGTGCAGGTCAGGGTCAACCAATTTTGCCTATAAATTAAAAATGGTTGTTTGGCCGTTAAATTTGGGCTCCTTCCTTGGTAGGGAACCCCTTTCCTACCCATTCGTTTGATTTCTCCCAATTGGTCACAATGCGGTAATGTTCGTTCTAATTCGATGAAGTTCCTTTCTTTTGAAGCCACAGATTAATGCATTTTTAAAGAGAACTCACCCCAGCTGTTAAACACACACAACAAAATAGGGACCATTTCATTGTTCCGTCCGTCAATTTCGGCAAGCTTTTTCATTCCATTTTAGTCCTTTTTGTGAACACGCTTAGGCAATATGACATAGTAAACAAACCAGTAGTGGGGAAAAAAATGTCCACTGTGGCAGATATACACACAAGCTTGTCGGAAGGGGGGCGAAGGCCATTCAAAAAGTCTTAAGGAAAAAACTTACATTACACATAAGTTGTCGACATGTGGTGATTTTGCGATAGGGCTATACGTACAAAATACATATGTAGATTTTTTCCGTTTTTTTTTTTACCAACTTTACATTTATTGTGCATTAATGTGGTCACTTTAAAGAGCTATTTGTTTGTTCGTTTGTTTGCTATTTTTTTTTTCTGTCACCTAGGCTGGAGTGCAATGGTGTGATCTTGGCTCACTGCAACCTCTGCCTGCCAGGTTCAGGTAAAACGTCGCTCACAAAATGGCTGTTCATCCCCAGTTGAAAATCACGAACTGGGCACAACGTGAATATTCTACTTTGGGGGAATTTTCTGATGCTGGAGAAAATGGCAAATGTACGGTTTTGCATTGACGTTTTCGTTTTCGCTGGGTCAGCAAAGGTGAGAAGTGTGAACATTTAAGCACCATTTGGAGTAACATCGTTATTGCAAACTGTTATCTTTATTATGGCGCGTTCATGCAGTGCTTGAGGCGTTCATACGTTGTGGCAGCGTTTTGCGGCCATTCTGCTGCCATTTTTGTGGCTACTTTGCTGCCATTTTGTGGCCATTTTTTTGCAGCCTTTTAGCTACCGTTCGGTAACTGTTTGGCAATTTTTTTAGCAACCTAGAAGCAATGCTGTGGAAAGTTCTTACCCCCTCACTCGCAATTGCCTCGAACTGCTTTCCAGGCGTGTATCCACTTCTCCGCCGCCAAAATGTCGTTCATGCTGCAGCACTTAAACAGCGGCTGGGCCGTTGACCAGGCGATAATAAATGAGGAAGAAAGGCTCGTTTGCATTCGCTTTGGCCATGATTACGATCCCGACTGCATGAAAATGGATGAATTATTGTACAAGGTTGCTGAAGATATAAAAAATTTCTGTGTAATATATTTAGTAGATATAACTGAGGTACCCGAGTTTAACACCATGTACGAGTTGTATGACCCCGTTTCCGTCATGTTTTTTTATCGCAACAAACATATGATGATAGATTTAGGCACTGGAAACAACAACAAAATTAACTGGCCCATGAATAATAAGCAAGAGTTTATTGACATTGTTGAAACCATCTTTAGAGGTGCAAGAAAGGGAAGAGGGTTGGTTATATCGCCCAAGGATTACTCGACCAAGTATAAGTACTGAATTGCCTGCAAAAAAAAGAGAAAAGAAATGCATGTCTTGGTGGAAAATGGGTAGGTAGGAAGATCAGGTAATGAAAAGGAAAATTCTCCCCCCAATTGCACTTCCCTTTTTTTTTTTTTTTGAATGTAAAATTTATACACAAAATACCACGTGCAGTCGGTGTGTTGCGTAGTTGTTTTTACCACCTTTCCTAGGGAATAAAAAGTCGATGCTCATATTAGTCCTCCTGTGAGCAGCGGGCCCCCTTTTTGTTAGGACTGATATCGCCCCCTCCCCGCGCGCGTAGATTCATGTGTGTAGTATTTACTTATTTATTGTGCGCGCCATTTTACCAAGAAAAATGGGGAACTTTTCCCACTGCATATTTTTTTGACGTTTTTTAATTTATGATAACTCAATCGAAACTAATTAAATTTGTCCCAATTTTTATTTTAAAAAAAGTAAAACTCATGTTTGGCACACGCGGGAGACGCAAAAGAGACACAGAAGATACGTATAATCCAGCTTAAGTTGCCCCCACCGACGTACAGCTCTTTACACACCGTTTTCATCTTTGTAGGTTTACGTTTGTTAAAAAGAAGAAGAAGAAAAAAAATTGATATATGCCTGTGCAACAAGTATAGTATGGGCAAGTCCACTACGCACATATAACCACATGCGTGAAAAATAATTCATCGTTCTGTCCCCAATCGCGCATTGATACCAGTGCCTATGAGGCGGGGAGTCGACCAGTATTAACGTCAAATGTTGTCTCTCTTTCTCTGTCTTTATGACTTTTTCAATTCAGAGCGTCCACACTTCAACAACTAAAACAAACGCAAAACAAACGTAATATTGAACAAATGAACACAAAAAAAAGGCAAGTTGCAACTGCGCAGGTGCAGACGTACAGGTGTATACCTAATATATGCATATGTAAGTACGTATTTATGTACGTACGTATGTACACACATGTGCGGCGCAGCGACTGCAAATAAGGGATAGTCTTTGACAAACTTGAAAATGGCAGGAAAAGGTGGCGCTGGGGATCAAAATTGCCACGTGTAAAATTCACTGCATGTATGTAAAACGATGCGTATCTCTGTGCAGGGGAACGTGGGGGCACTCAGAGGTTCTTAAGAAAAATTTGAAAGAATATTGGGGGCATACGTGTAAAAATTTATAAAATGGCAAACGAGTAGGCCTGCGCGTCTGCACACATTACATATATATGTGTATTTATGTAGGCACGCACTGTAATGCCCCCAATTCAAGTTCTCCCCTCTTCGAATGAGCTCTATTGAAAAAAAAAAAAAAAGGGCGATGAGAGGAAATAAATGAATAGAAACTAAATCATCCTAGCTAATTCGAATGAGGGGCATATTCTGAGAAGGCAAATGTTCACCAATCTGTGCTTCTAGTGACCCATCAGAATTGTCATAGCCATATGCATATCATGCGTGTGTCACAAGACGCGCATATGTTAAGGGGGCACATCATTGGAGCCTTCTTGACTGGGTTGCGCCTTTGCAATAGCTTCATCCTGGCTACCTTCTTCACGAGTCCCATCGGGGATGCGCAAATAAATAGGCATTTGCGCACCTACGTTTGTGCAGAGCTGTATTCTCACGTGCTCATTCAAATGGCATGCCCCCCTTGATCGACATTCCAAATTTTGCGAACAAGCACTTTAGGCGGAGGACTAACAAACGGGAGTGCAGACCGCGGTGGAGACAGAGGTGAAGACAGCGGTGGGCATGCTTCCACCTTCCAGCGCTTAACTGAGAGTGCATGTTCAGGGGGTATATACCCCTTTCGTGTAAAAAAAAGAAAAAAAAGTGGACTTACCCAAGTGTATAGTAGTGGGACTATTTCCACTGTCCATTTTAAGTTCCTCCTTTTTTTTTCTCACATGTCATGGTGCGCCTGCTGCCTCAACGTATATATATATTCGCATTTTGGATACACATTTCTGTTGCAAAACTGTTTATCGGGTTTATCGTCCGGGAGATGCACCCTGTGCTGAGCGGTTTGCCCCTTTTCATAACGTTCACGAGAGGTATCTATGTGTGTATATGTTTATTCACACTCCACGGTGATCGTGACTGTGGTGATCCTGCACCCGACCCCATTAGGTAATCTTGCTGAGGAAGTAGAATGACGCGATCTCGTACAGCATGTCCTTACTAACAGGGATGTTGTGGCGTATGTAGGACTTATTTATCTTAATAACTTCGTAAAAAATGATGCAGGCATTTTTGTGTTCCTCCATGATATTTTTCTTCGCAAGCACCGAGTTGGGGTATATGCTAACGACCTGATTAAGTTTTATTATTTTAAGTTCATTTTTATTAACGGGCAAGGCAGCATTGGTGAAGAAGGCACTGACAATGCACTTCTTCAGGCTACATATAGCGTCGTGATTCTGAATACCACAAGAGCTAATGGGCAAATCGATTTTCTCGCAGATGCTCACCAGCTGCGTTTTGATGTCCTTAATTTTTAGCAATGTATGGTATTGCAAAAAGTGGTCGTAGCAGAATGACGTGGAAAAGTTGTTCTCTTCGCACTGTTTATATATATTTAGGAGGAGGAGAAAATCTCCACCTCCTTCTATGGTAAACATTTTCTTGACATTTTCCGCCTCTTTTTCCTTTCCTTTTTGAACGTAGAAAATGTTATTTGCATGTGTTAGCATAGCTGTGATGCATAAAATCTCGTCTACACAATTATACTTCTCCGATGCTGACAGAATCATTTTACTTGACTTGACATCTGTAGGGAATTCAGCCATCTTCCTCCCCGTTTTGGTTAAGTTCCCCTCATCATTTAGTGCACCCAAGGAGTAGAGAAGTTCTAGTCCTTTTATTATCACGACCGGGGAAGGAGGGTCTAAAAAATCGAAATTTATAATATCATCCATGCCGAGACTTTTTAGTAATAAAATCATACTGCTGACTTCGCATCGTTGAATTTCTGGAACGGAGTTGTCATTCAGATCGATGAAGGACTTCTTCGTGAAGAGGCGAAAACATTTTCCATCTTGTTTTCTACCTGCTCTACCTGTCCTTTGATTCACAGATGCTTTGGAGCATGGTAAAGTTACTAGGGATTCAATCCCCGAGTTGGGATTGTACACTTTCTGCTTACACAGACCTGAATCAATCACGTACACTATGTTCTCTATGGTGATACTCGTCTCGCAAATGTTTGTTGATAGGATAATTTTTCTGGTGCCTCTCCGCCTGGTTACCTTCGGCTCACCGGCTGGTGCGAGCTCACCTGTTTGGAGGTTCGCGTTGGTAGAAGGGGCTTCCCCCTGTTGTGCTTCCCCACCGTTGCCGCTCTCCGGGCCATCCCCCTTCCCGTGGTCCTCCTCCGCCACATCCTCGAATATCCGCGCCTGCTGCTCCACGGGCAGGGAGGAATAAATAGGCAAAATGACCATGTTGCGAAACCTTGGGGCTAGTTCGATGAGCTTATTTTCCAGCTCCTGCTGCACCAGCTCGATTTCAAACTGACCGGGAAGAAAGACCAAAATGTCTCCCTTCTCCTGCGTAACGTGGATCTGCAAAATGGTAATCACAATAGCGGACAAATAATTACTCTCATTATTTATCGTGTAGTAAATATCAACGTTGTATTTTCTACCCGGCACATAAAATATGGGGGCGCAGTTAAAGTAGGTGGAAATCTTCTCAGCGTCTAGAGTTGCCGACGATATGATAATCCGTATGTCGTCCCTAAAGTTGCAGATGTCCTTTATTATGGGGAGCATCACATCGGTGTGTAATGCCCGTTCGTGAGCTTCATCAATTATTAACACCGAAATGTCATCTAGCGTTGGGTTGTACAATAAAAGACGTAGGAACATGCCATCCGTCATGTAGACTATCTTTGTTGACTCACTCGTTTTATTTTGAAATCGAATAACGTAGCCAACTTCCTTTCCCACTTTTACATTCATCTCATCGGCCACCCTATTTGCTATGGCTATACATGCGATTCTTCTGGGCTGCGTACAGACTATGTTTCCATACAGATGGTATTTACACTCGTGCAGATACTGCGTTAACTGTGTGCTCTTTCCGCTTCCTGTTTCTCCAACTAGAATTAAAATTTTATTATTTTTGATGGCCTTTAAAATGTCATATCGATAACTATATATGGGTAGCCTCTTCCTGTCATCGATTATTTTCTTCATTTTTTTCTCTTTCTTCCTTTTAATGTCTTCGAACAGTCTTTGCAATTCCTTTTCCTTTTCTTCCATTCCGTAGAGGCTGTCCAGGTGCACGAATTCGACCACGTCCGTCAGGCCGTTTCCGTTCCGCTTGCGATCACGGCGGTCATGGCGGTCGTCACCATCGGCACCATCATCACCATCGTCGCTATCTCCACCCCGATGATGTTCGCTTCCCTTTTTCTTCTTTTTCCCCCTGCTCGACTTCTCCCGAGTTTCGCTTCTCCCTCCGCAGCCTTCATCCCCTTCACGGTCATCGCTCGCTCGGTGGTGGCTATGACCCTTGGGGATGCCCCTTTCTGGGCGGGCTCTTGCACTGGAAAGGGAGCTTTTGTCGATGCGTCTCTTCTCCCCTCTATGCCTTCGCCCACTGCCGCTGCCGTTGCCACTACCAACAGCACTACCGCTGTCGCTTTTTTTTTTTTTTTTTTTACATTTTTTTTTTTTTCGTTCCTTATCCCTTTCGTACTTGGCTTTCTCCTCATATTTCTCCTCAGACTTCTCCTCAGACTTCTCTTCAGATTTCTCCGCATATTTCTCCCTTTTTACGCTCTTCCGATTTGCCAAGTCGTCCTCAAACACAAAGTCATTTTTAAGGCCTTCACTTATCCCCACCCCCGAACCGAATTTTAAAATCCCTTTGCTAATTACCTGTTCATCATAGTTGTAGACGGAAGGATCTCCCTTCCCCTCTCTAACTTGCGTCGTATCAGCATCGGCGCCCTTCTTCGCTGCATCAATTTTGTCCAAATCTTCCTGGAAGAGGTAATAATTTTCTTTTAGCTTTTCCCTTAACTTTATATTCTCTTTAGCTATATCATAGATCCTCTTGGACAGTTCCAATTCTTTAAGTTCCTTCCCCTCCAATTTAATTGTACTATATAGGAGTTCATCATCCAGTAGTTTCTTCGTTACATCTAGCTTTTCCCTCTCTCTTTCTTTGAGGTACTTTCTTCGAGCATCCTTCTTCAGCAATTCAACATAATCTGCGTCATTTTTTAAGTTTTTATTTCTACCTGTTCGGTATTCCAGATGTAGGGGGTGTAATAACTTTTCGCTGATTTTTGCGTCCTTAACCGATTGGTCATCTTCTGTCCGGATTTTTTTTTTCGTTTCATCATCTTCGAATTCAATGGGCCGTTTGTGCGCCTCCGCCTTTTCCCTCATCCTGGCGCGGTGCAGGCAATTTGGGGGGTGGCAGCTCCGAGGAGTGCTTTTGGAGTACTTTTGGATGGCTCCCTTTGGGTTGCTTCCTTTGGGTTGCTTCCTTTGGAGTGCCTCTTTTGGGGTGCTTTTTGAGTGCTTATTTTGGCCTATACCCAGATGTGCACTCTTCTGCGCCAACAGAAGGGGGGGGCCTCTAAAAGTCCAGAATTTTCCGCGCACGTTCCCTAATCCTCGCAACAAACGTGGTGAGTTTCTCCCCCCTCCCGCTCGAGAAGCCTCTCCACATGCGCATAACCAGCGATGCAACGGTGTACGCAACTGTGTATTCAGCTGTGTATGCAGCTGTCTATGCAACCGTGCATGTACTCTACATGAATGGACAGCTCGTCGGAGGGGCCCCTTCCAACGATGGTTTGTTGATGATTATATGAATTGTGCCTCTTCCTCTGGCTGCTCTCCTTAGACCGTTCGGTAATTTCCCTCTTGTAAAAATGGACCAGACAAACGGGTTCAGGTGGAGAGTTAATAATCATAGGGAAGCAGCATATGGCATTCGCATCACATGTAAAAGCTTCCATACGCACGCTTAACGGGTTAACAATGACGAGAAAAGAAGGAGCAAATGGGGACACAACTACCCTTTCGTGAAATTGAAAATGTACTTACGAGTAACGCGATAGAACACGTAAGTACATAAGTAAAAGGAGCAGATGCAAACTGAAATAGGATGTTCGTTAAGGCGAATTTTTTTTTTTCTTTTTTTTCCCTGCCGATAGACGTGGTTGCAAACGGGAGACCTCTCCGTTGGAGAACGTAAAAGTGCCCTACCCCTATAGATGATAAATACGAGTGGGTGCCAGGAAGAGCCTCCTTTTACTATCAAATGCCCATTTGATGACGTGCGCTGTGCATATTAAAAATAACAAAAAAAAAAAAAACGTGCGTCATTATGTGAGTTAAATTGGGAAGTGCCGAGTGAATCGATGATTTGAAGAGGGGGGAAAAGTCATACGATCGAAAGGGATAGAGGCAAATTGACATGGATGCAAAGTCTCTACAATTTTGACGCTGCTAAAATGTCAAACTAATTTTCATAAAATGGGGAGAAAATTCATAAAAGGAAAAGAGGCACGCTTGGCGCATTAGTCGGGAAAAATTAAAAAAACGGCAAATGGGGGAAAGGGGCGACGTGGCCACAGGTTGATGATGCCCCTGCGCGGTTATGTGCTAAAAAATGGGACGACGGCCGAAGACGTGCAGATGTACTTGTTATGCAGAATTAATATGGGTGTTTAAGAAAACATCACCGGTTGCGCGCCTTTGCGGCTGCTCGCTTTCTTCACTTCGCAGTCGGCATTGCTCCAACTGTGCGTTTCCACACGGAGCTCCCGCATACACCACGGGGGTCGCCACCGCTCACTGGAAACTGCGCGCGAAAGAAAAAAACTTGTAACACCCGCAAAGCAGCTACGTGCGCGCAAGTACGTATAAAAGTTGTGCGCCTATTTACATGTCCCCCTACTCACATGCCAAGCGCACGTACATTTGTGCGTTTTTGTGTTCCTTTTAAAGCTTCACATAAAACAAACCTGGGCGGAAAGAAGTGAAAACGAATATGTTCACGTACGTGCTTATCTTGGCCAAACGGCACGCAAGTAGAAGCTCCTTCTACTTTAAATGCTTTAATAAGCCAGCAATTCTTTTCCAAAGGGCCCTGGGAAAATATAAACTCGAGAGAGCAGCACATGCGCGCTTTGCAATGTATATATCGTATATATGTACTTTTTTTTTTTTTTTTTTTTAGCTCGCCAAATTGCGCAAACATTGTGTGCATTTTTTTTTTTTTCTTCCCCTTTTCACGCCAAAATGTTCACACAAAAGTAATTACGTGTTAAGTACAAATGTGGATACATTCTTTAAAAACCCTTCGTGATACGCCACCAATCTGATATAATTAGCACTTTAAAAAATGTAACATCATGTAGGGGATGTCTGTCTGCATGGGGACATGCCGCTTCGTTCTGTCTCGCCCCCCTTTTCAAGGAGTATACCAAACATAGAAAAAAATATATCCTCCGATTGGAGATATGTATCTTCCGAGATTTTTCCCCGCATTGTATACTGAACAGTCTTCTTAGTAGGATCCCATCCACCTGTAGTAATAGCCTCTAAAATGCCGTCTGTTCTTGTACTGCTTTTTCGTCCTGCAAGTGTGTATGTGTGTGGATGGGTATGGGTCAACGGAAAAGCACTCGGATGAATGTGCACAAGGGAGAAGCACAACTAGGGTTGTAAAACAGCCGTCGCGGAGTTGTTATCCCCAAATGGAAGCCGCTGGGTGCAGCTTAACAAGTCCATGCATGTGCCGCATGGGGGTGATGCTCAACCCAAGGGATTCTCCCGCTCTTCACGCGCGGATGTATGCTGATGAGTAGACCCAAACGGATGCGCGTATCCGCAATTACGCACACTGCGAACGGGCAAGTTGCCATCTCGTCTACGCGGCGTTTAGAATTAATTAAACTTCGAACCTACATCGATCTACCCTTTGCGTTTGTTTACGTGGGCGCAGGAAGTGAAATGGGGTGAACAGCAGTGGTATGAAACGCTTGCGCCAGTTTATCCCCATTAGGGGGAAGATTTCCGTATTCAAATTTAGCAGCATGGTGAGTACTACAAAAAAGTCCGTTACGTATAGGTACATAAATGTGTATGCATAAGTGGATGCGCTTTTACGCGATAAACTATATGTATGTTTTTTTTTTTTAAAAAAAGAGGCCCCTGAAATGTTGGAGTTGTTCCAATGCAGAAACGGTTCGAATCAGTGGGCACCTTATGTATACATGGAATTCCTTCGCAAGGCCCCGCCAAATGTTCCTTTTGCGGTTTTGCTGTTTTGTTTTTTTTTTTTTTTTTTTTTTCCTGCGTGTGACTCTGCCGCAGTGCAAGGCACCAATTCGTTCCAGCAGAGTAAGTTTTTATGCCCGACAACGTTGGCACAGTTATTCAAGTGAAAGGTGTGCGGTGTTGAGGCAGCTCTGTCGCTTTTTGTTTGCTTTGTTTGCTTCTTCGCCTCTTCGCGTCCTCCTTGCCTGATTTTTTTCTTTAAGTGAGGTAAAGAGGCGCAACGCGGATTAATGCGCCATGCGAAATGTACACTAAATTGTGTGGAAAAAAAAAAAGCGCCGTTTCCCCCCCAAATGTAGATCGCGAACTGTGCTTGCCAATCGTGCATACAGATAAAAAGCTCATTTTGCGAGGAACCCCCAGTTGTGTTTTATTCCCCGATGCGGTAACATCACATAGCCTTTTTTTTTCGACCCTTATATTTTCCCCCGAGGGCAGGTCCAAATTATCCATGGGTGTATGTTTTCATTTTTGTTTTTCTTTTTTTATCGCATCGTAGTTAGTAATACGGATGGTGAACTACAGGGGAAGGGATGCCACAAACGCCTAATTATTTTTTTGTGAGATTCTCCCTTTCGTTAAACATACCTATACGGCAAGGACGTCGTCTGCTGGGACGAGGAAAGACACTCATTACCTCATTTCATTTTGTTACAGCACATTCTGAAGGCGAAGTGCCATTTTAACATTGCCTACACTGAAGGGACAGTCTCCATTTACTTCTCTCCCCTCCCTGATACGTTAACGTTCATACAATTTTGCTAAACTATGCATAGTGATACCTTGCGAGAACATTTTTTCGCGAATGGCTTTTTCTTTTTAACTTGAAATGGAGGGGATATAAGAATATGAGGTAGATTAAAGGGGGGAGAGGGGGGAAAAGAACATGAGGACATGCTTACAAATCGTCTGGCGTGCGATGAAAGTTGAGAAATGCCTCCAAGTACGTTTGCTCTTTCGATGTATGCACGAAGTTGAAAGCAAATAGGAACATGCTTCCAGTGCGGAAGGCGTTGTTTTTCCTGTGCTAATGTGCAGGCCTATTGCCCCAGCAAATGGATCCTTCATCAGATTTGGCAAGAGGGTCAAATAGAAGGAACGCACTGCAGGCTGTGCCATTTGGTTTATAACGCAGGGTTATGCCTGTTCCCCATGGAGAGGGGGCCACAATTGGAGCATTAATCCAGGTGAAAAAAAAGAAAAAAAAGGGGAAAAAATGAAAAGCATACACTTCCCTGCTTCAGAACACACCACACACGTCACTCCTATGCAGTTCGCTTGTGGCACAAACTACACACACACCTTTCCGGGCCACTTTTTCCCCTCAGCCATTTGTGGCCTTCTTGGCTTATTTGGTCAATTTCCCCCTTTGTTTTTCCCTTCTTTTGGCTTTTTTTTTTTTTTTCATGTAGCTACTTCTAGGAGGTCACTTTGAATTAAATGCTTCCCCTTTTAACAAAATAAGCGCCATATTTTTACGTTAAAAAAAAGAAGAAAAATAAAAAAAGTGATGCACAGCTCAGGTTGCCAGTGTGTCATTTTACGTCAACTGTTCGCAATTTTCACGTCATTTTAAAAGATAAAAATTGGGGAGGATTCTTCCAAGGGATTGATTTTCCTGCTTGGAAAACATATGTGTAGTGCCCTCTCTATTTGCGCTGCTAACCTGATTGGCGTATTTTTATTTACCAATTTGTTTTACGCAGCTTTGCGTTAACCATTTGGGTGTTAAAAAAAAAAAACAAATTACCCATTTTGTAATTTAAAATTAAGAAGTTTTTTTTTTTTTTTTTTGTCTTTTTTGG